GGTGCTGAGATCAAAACGTGTGAGAGCTCGAGAGTCATTTACAGTCTGCGAGGATCCGGTAAAGAGCTTCTATTTATGAAATGTTTACACACTGCATCTCCTTTTATCCTCACAGATCGTGTGATGTCAGACAAGTATTGGAATTTTTGCCTTGTAGATGAAGAATGAAATTCTTGACTATCATTGCAAAAACGGTCAGGGGCAAAATTGAGATACAATTTGAGTCCTCTGGGCTGCCAACCCTTCCTTCTTTCCACCCCATCACAAAGGCAAATTTTGTTCATGATGATATCTAAAAACTTAAATACTGGAGTCCTTAACATGCAGATTTTACACAATTATAGTAAACTGACAGAGAAGAAGTATGCACTCTCTTGTCAGCTAGCACATTTTTATCAAGATGAAGAAACAAGATATTTATGAGTGGGATTCTTATAAACAAGTTAATATAAAATAAGTCACTAATTATAAATAAGGTCAATAAATCTGATAGGTAAAAACAAGAGTGAAAGTTGAACTGTGAAATGACCTGGAAACCTGGTCTCAGTGTGTGGGTGTGTGTGTGGGGGGGGGGGGGGGATATTGATAGCATGACTTTTCTGCATTTTGACAGATCATTCCAAAGAGAAAGGGTAAAAATACACAAGCCCTTTGATGGGAATGGAGACATTTGTTCAGATTAAAAAAAAAGAAAAAGCAAAGCACTATGGCTGGGCTGCATACCAGCTCTCACTGAAAAACCGAGGAAAACATGAAAAGGTAAAGCCCGGAGCTGAAATGAATTAAACTTGACTGTTCGCTAGAATAGGAATAGGCAGGATTAGAAGCATCTGGTGCTTTTTTTCTCCCTTTACTTTCTCAAGAAAGATGCCCTGTCACTTAACCTATGACCATTATGTAATGTATGCCTCTGGTCAACAGCTGAGCTGCATGACCTTTGCACACAGTGTTTTAACATGTTTGCCCATCATGAGTAGAAGAGAATAAAGGACAAAAAGTATTGGTTTCCTCAGCTGGCAAAAAAAAAAAAAAAAATCATTCCTTTTCCTAATAAGGATTTTTCCTAGTACTGGCTTATGGGCAGGGGCAGCCTTGCTGTCATGGGAGCCATCATAAAGGATACTGGCAAAGGACCACCTGCGAGAGAACCTGTCTTCCACCAAATGATCACCCCTAGAAACCAGAATCATGTCTTGGGTGTAGGCACTGAGGTTCTAAAAAGTCCCCCTCTTTAATGATAGCATATGGGTTGTGGTAAATATACCAAAATGCTCTCAGTGCAAATTCAGAGGTCCCTAGGCCATTTTCATTTAACTGTATACAAACACAGCCATATTATAATTTCTTAAAGAAATGTTTTAATAGCTAAAATATATTCCTCTAGAATAATGCCTATAACATTCAAAAAGGAGGCATTTGTTTAAAAAGAAAAAGAAAACTTAAAGATAGGCTGAAATAATTTTGTGGACAAATATTTTTGCCATTATGGCATAAAAATGAGCAACAAGGCATAATGCAAATTCTTTATGTACAAATATGAAAGGTAAGCCAAAGGAGGAAGCAAATTACAAATAAGTGGATTCATAACAGATATGATACTAAATGCTAACATTCTAAAAGAGAACATTTTAATTTTCTTTTTTGAAGTTTTTTACAAGACATACATAAAAAACAAAACATAAAATTGATTAACTCAATTAGATTCATGGCTCCTTCATTTTAGTACACTTTTTTGAGATGACATCAAGATAGATTCATGGCAGATATGATTGTTACATAGAAATCAACTTCAAAAATGTTACTGATATTGACTTCAAATAGCTTTGCCTTCCTTAAATTACTTATTAAGAACCCAAAATTATTTAACTTATTTAGACTTGATGTGGACTTACTTATTTTTCATATTTTCTCTTCTCTTTCATACGAATACATAAATAGAAATGTTCACAATTTACAGATACAAATACACCATGGTTTTCATTCAGGATTGTTTTCTACATCATTTCTAGCTACAACGAGGACATTCTAGAGGATTGAATGGAAATATCTTATCACATCCCCACTTCATTTAGAAGGTGGGTAGTTTTACCTCTCAGCTTCTCCTGACCCTTATTATTTCTTCTAGAGGAGCCAGAGGAGCTAACTCTGAGAGAAACAGTGCTTCCAGCTGCTCAGCAGCCACCAGAGGGATATTCCCAAGAAGCAGAAGAAATTGTCAAGGACCAGCCCCCTCAGGTGCTCATCTACTCCCACCTCCACTAGATTCTTTCATTCCTCTTCTCCTCCTGTTTTAAATTGATGTACAGCAAGCATGTCAAACTCAAAGGCTAACAGGGACCAATAAACGAGGCATGTGGCCCATGGGCCACGAGTTTGACATGCTTGCTGTACAGGAAGCAGCCATAAATAAAAGTGGCTTTATGTGGGTTCTTAGTAAGGAGGCTAGATTTCCCCCCTCGGAGAAACAAGATAACACAATGATTAAAGCAATAGACTAAGCATCTGGGGCCAGCTGAGAGTCCCCTCTACACCTGCCAACCTGCAAGTCACTCAACCTCCCTGAGGAAAGACTTTAGCTCTAAAGTAGGACAACTTATTTCAATGAGCAAATAACTTGTGTTAAAAACTCTTAACAGAATATAATGTTACAGCATTTTGACAAATTAGTGATAATGAAATAAGTCAAATAGTGGCTTTTGAATATGCTATGTCTCAGCAATTGTATGAGGTCTTTGAGGTTAGTAATACAACAAAAAAAAACTGAATATTACCATAATTATAATCTTAGAAAAAATAAAGTATGTGCTCTTGAAAAGTAATATGTTTCTCTTAAGTTTTCTATGTAGAAGGAAGATAGAGAACAGATGATTGTAGCTTGTGAAACAAAATTAACTTCGTGGGTTTTATATTTGTTTTTCCTTCTTTGTATGAGAAGTTCAAGAAATGATGGCTACAGTGTTACTGCAGACTTTATAAGCATGATCCCTTAAGTAAAATGTGGAGGAAATAACATACATAATAGGAAAACAGCCAAAATTGGTTAAATTCTATTTTGGGCGGTTCACTAATACAGTGCCCTGTGTGCGGAGTGTTGGAGCTTCTCTTATAATGTTAAAAAAAAAAAAAAAAAAGCATTCCCCTTGAGTGTTTGACTCTCCTGACACACCTTAGAATGCTAGGGATCAGAATAAACACTTTTGCCAAAGAATGAAACATGCAAGACTGTGCTTATTATATTTACAATTCTTCACATCAGAGGAGTGAGTACCCGTGTGAGCCCAGCTGAGCCGTGTGAGAGACAGCATCCCGCTGTGAGCTGGCAGTAGTTTGGAACCTTCTTTTCTAAGGCTGGTGTGCTCCAGTTGGTATCAGAAGGGATCCTCATTGTTGTGGCCTGTTCCTGCCTCCAGGACAGCCACTTCCACACCCCCCACTGCTGGGCTCTCCATCCTGCAAGGAGCCATCTGGAGAGGAAAGGCCGGCCCCAACTCCCTCTGGAAGTTGTTAGCTCTGTCCCACAGTTGGCATCCAGGGGTTTTGAGAGTTGACCTCTTCACAGTCTTTCTTTTCATGTCAAGAAGTTGATTGTACCCTTTTCACTACCCTTTCAGCTTCAACCAGGTCTCCAAATTATAGAACAAATCTCTAAAGAAGACCTGGGCTTCCCATGGGAATGCAGACTGCTACCCTTAGATTCCTTCTTAACAAGCATAAGGACCTTGGGGCTTAATTTAAGGGGTGATGGGGGGGGGGCTGCTTTGTTTCCTCTGTGTAGCTTTTAAAAATAATTTTGAAAATAAAATAAGTAGAAAGAGGATGAATAATAGAACAAGCCAAATAAATATCTCAGTACAGTAGTCCACAATCATGAGCTAGTGTGTTAGAAAGGCTTGTATGTTGCATTATTAACTAGCTATGTGTTCTTGGGGAAGTTATTTACTGAATCTCATTGCTCCTCAGCTTTGTGTGTGTGTGTGTGTGTGTGTGTGTCTATTAAAAGATTCATAGAAGTTGGTTAATGGATAAAACTATCATTTATTAGTATAAATATAAGACTATTGGTAATTCTCTACCTCATTTGTTCACAAAAATAACTTAATTAATGTCCCTACTAGGTAACAAGCACCTGTATGAAGTCCTGGAGAGAAAAGGCAAACAAGAAAACCTTCCTGGGGTGGAGGGTAATGAGGGGATAGGGACATATATGTAAAAAATAAAAATTAATAAATTAATAAATAAAAATATTATAAGAAAAAAAAAGAAAACCTTCCTTCCTCTCAGGGATTCTTTCTATAGGAGTGATACTAGGCTAGAACAGTCCTAAGTCAGGTTTTAACATGTTACTGAACTCAAGATTGTAAAGATCACACATGACTGTGAGCTTAACCCCTTACAACTACACTATGTTTAAATTCCTTCTCTTTACTTTCTTACTGAAGCAAATAAAAGGTCCCCCTCCCATAAGAAGAGAGCTCGATATAATTGTCCTTTGAGAAAGTCCAAGCTTCACCAAAATGATAGTTGCTTACTGATTGCAAGGCCCTTTTTAAATGTATATGATCACACCCTTGGCATATGGCCTTTTGCAAGTTTCCACCTTCCTTACACTTAGTATCCTGAGTTCTCTTCTCCCTTTCCTGACCAGCAGGAATGGGAAGTCATCTTAAGTCACTCTTGTATTAAAGAAAACCTGCAGTTTTGATGAGCCAGGGAACTGGGATGCAATGGTCTCCACCCTCTTTTTCCCCTGGAATGTGGTTCTTTTAAAAGACTAAGTTCTATAGTAGACCCCCTTCTCCCTTATCCACAGGGGATTTGTTCCAAGACTCCAGGCAGATGTCTGAAACCTCAAATAGTAACAAACCTATTACATACCATGCTTTTTCCCATACCATACAAGTTTAATTTATAAATTAGGCACAGTAAGAGATTAACAACAATGACTAATAATAAAATGAAAGAATTACAATAATATACTGATCGTTTGATACTATACTCACCCTTGGTCCTGTGATGCTGCGAGATGAAACACCTATGTGAAGAGGTCAATGACGGGCCTTAGGACATAGTAGTATTAGGCTACTATGGACTTTATGACACATAAAAAGCATTTTTCTGCTTCTCTTTGGCAAATTTGAAGCACCAGCATCACTACTCTTGCACTTTGGAGCCATTATCAAGTAAAATAAGGGTGACTTGCACAGTAAGAGATCATGACAGTACAGTAGATCTGATAACCAAACTGGAAATGAATGGGCAGGAACTTTTTCAGCATGGATTCACTGACTCAAGTCCTAGGTTGGGCCAGGGAAATCCAGAGGCCATGAGATTTTATCACTCTACACAGAATGGGACATGATTTAGAACCTACGAATTGTTTTATTTCTGGCAGTTTCTATTTAATATTTTCAGTCTTTGGTTGATTGTGGGTAACAGAAACAATGGAAAGTAAAATTGCAAATGGGCAAGGGAAAGAGAATGGTATTTTAAATTAAATGTATTTTTTTCCTTATGTATCTAGACTCTGAGTATGCATTCCCTTTTATTATACACAGCTCTGTGCGGTCGCCATGCAGCCATCCTGGGCTGAAATGTGAAAGCTTCCCTTACAGCCCAGTCCCTCTTCAGATCAGCAGCCTGCTGGAAACATGAGACTGAGCTCAGGGTGGCCAGAGCTGCTCTGATCTCGATGCTGCCACCTAGAGGATACACTTGATATTCCTCACAACGTCTACTCTTGCCTGAGTCTCTGCTCCTGCCCTCCCTCCCTCTGAATTAGTTCTTCTTTCTCTCCTTCCTTTCCCTTCTTTAATTTTCAAATTGAGCTCAGACATGCTTTTTCCAGGAAAAAGCTATGCCACTCGAACCTACACATACTCCTTCATCACAGGTTTGTTCAGCATTCTCCAGACTTCCTATTTTGGACTCTAGTCTTGTGATCATTTCATTATTTTATAATTATCTCAATACCTGACACCCTGATTCAAAAATGTGAACCTCTAAAGTTTAAGTCTTGTCTAATTCCACTTGATAATCCCAGTACCTGCTACAAAATAATATTTTGAAAATAATTGTTGAAAGAACAAACTTTTTTTTCCCTGAAGTTTTTTAGACCTGAAAAGCAGAATAGCCCTGGTGTATGTTTCAGTCTGAGAGCCAACAGGCACGAGACCCAAGAAAACCCTATTTTTTAGTTCAAATCCAAAGGCTTGAGAAAATAAATGTCTCGGCTCAACCAGTCAGGCAAAAAGAATTCCTCTTACTCAGTATTTTTATCCTATTCGGGTCGTCAACTGATTAGATGGGGCACACCCACATTAAGGAGGGTAATCTTCCCTACTCAGTCTACTGCTTCAAATGTTTAACTCCTTCAAAAATACTCTTACAAACACACTGAGGACAATGTTTAATCACTTGTCTGGGCACCCCACAACCCAGTGAAGTTGGCTCATAAAATTAACCATCATAATACTTAAAGTTTATTTATCTTATTTTTAAAATATGGATTTCTGACTCTTCTTGGCATCACTTATATGGTATGGAAACTCCTTCCCGGGGAGTAACAAAAAGGTGGAGGTGAGTAGAGGCTGTCACAATCTCCAGCATTCACTTGATTTCGCTGGCTTGCCTCAGCACACATTTGAATTTGAGACCCATTAGTTTAGGCTGTATTGCTTATGAAAGCTCATGTTGGTCTTTGGGAAGGGTGTGTGTGTGTGTGTATTCCAATAGTGATTAATTTAGACAATGAGAAAAACTAAGAGGCATAAACATACATTAAATTAATGAAAAGACCTCAAAGGAGAACTAAAACCAGTGTGCACATGGCCACCCCAATTAGTTCTAGAGGATTTGAAATACCAAGATCCTTCTCCTATCCTCTGACTAGAAGTGCAGAGAGTAACAAAAACCACCACACACCGAAATCAATGTTTTAAAAATGTGCATAGTAACCAATCTCTTAGGGTATTTATTAGGGAAGACCTCACACCATCTTCCTGGAACTCCTGAGGTATCACTCTAGTAATACAGCCACAAAAACATGTTATGTTGGGGAAAAGGAAATAGATCTTGAGAAAGGATAATAAATCCTATTTTGCATTGACTGAAATAGAAGTGATTCTGAAAGCAAACAAATACCCTAAGAGATTGGTTACTATGCACATTTTTAAAACATTGATTTCTCAATCCTTAATTTCAGATAAATATTGGCTGTTTCTTAATGCTAAGAGGCATAAGTAAAGATTAAGCACTGAACCAGAGAGCAGCTTTGGGCTAATGGGAAAGAAACTCAAACTCCATTTCAAAGTGTTGAATCCAAGTACTGAATCAATTCACCAATGGTTTCTACCTATCTGGGCACTTGGGTTCCTTTAAGACCTCCTCCCACTATTCAATAGTAACCTTTCAGATGTACTTTGATATGCTTCATTTTGACTCTGGTAGATTTTAAGTTGTTTTAGGGGGGGGAAACATATCATATGATTTTTATGTAAAACATATCATATAGCTCTTAAGACAGAATTTTCACATAATAATGGCTCAATTAACATATATGATATGAATGGATTTAATGCCATTATATGTATATATTCTTCACAGTTAAACACAGCATTCAAGTTAGCAAAAGGGATGCTGACTAGAGAAAATAAAATGGTGATAGATAATCACACACACACACACAAAACACCCTTCCTTGGTGTAATCAACATCATGGGTACAGGAAGAGCGAGTCAATTCTCATATCCCCAGATGGGGGATGTCCACAAAATGTTGGAGATTCACAATCCAAGATAGGCTCTAAATTGTTTGGCAGCAACAATTCTCAGCTTAGGTCTACTGATTAGTTGTTTAAAAGATCAGATAGGTTTTGTGGTGGTGCTGGTGGTGGTTAGAACCATGCAAACATTGCAATTGAAAAAACTCAGCTAGATCCATCCTCACAATAGAACTGAGTGACATGCTTGTTCAGACATCAACGGGATTGGCATTTTCAGTTTCTTTTTTATAAGACCTATAAATTGCCAACAGTGCCCTATAGTAGTTCCCTTAATATAAACTTCGATGACCTAAGCTTTGAAGCATTACATTTTTTTGCAAAAATAATAAGCATGGGCACTTAGATCATTTCATAAATGTATCTAGATTTTTTTTTAGGATGAAAAAGAATTCTGGTAATTTTTATTTAACCAGAAGATGGCATTGTCAAGTGTGTTTTCTAGGCATAGGGTTATTGAGACTAACTTGAAACAATCAAGCCCTTGGAATTTGGTTTGATGAAAAAAAAAAAAAAAAAAAAAAAACTCAACCACACAGCAGTGTGAGTCTTTTGGAACTTAGAAGATTAACTACATAATTACAAACATTTTAGCTCCATTTCACCTTTACACGCCCATGGTATTGCCCTTTTGGTTGCAGAAAGTGCTGGATTCAGGCAGGAATACTGGGGCAGAGTAAGTTTAAGGGATGAATCACCCTTAGAATATGGTTATAAAAACTTGGTCTGTTTTGTTTTCCTCATTATCCTCAAAGCCTAGAAAATATAATAAGCACTCAATACATAGATCTTGATTGAAAAATAAATGAATTATCACTTAACTTGTTCTAAAACATCCATCTCTGAAATGGGGAAGAATTAATAGTGAATTATCCTCAGACCTTAGGTGAAAACTTAGCCTGAGAGTAACTGAATTAGATTATAATAATGAATGTGTTTGACCTGAATATTTCTTTTATGGTTCAGGAAGGTCTGCTTATAGAGTCAGCTCATAGTGTGGAAACTTCTCAGTTTAACATTCGACAGACCATTTCCTATCCTGACATCAATAGCAAGTTTCATGTGTACTTAATTTTATTCTTAGCATGGATGAAATTTGAGACAGCAAAAGTTCTTTTTTCATCTAGGTTATGTGAGATGATCCATCTTCACACTAAATTCTGTCTCTATTGATTCCAACCACAGGTAACTTCTTCGATTTCACATTAAGAGCAGGGAATGAAAATAAAGATTTCTCAAAATATGCAGTCCTGAAGGAAAATGAATTTAATCCACATGTTTTTATTTACCCCCCCCCAGAAGCGGGTGTTCTAAAGGATGAGTCAAGAACTCTAACTTGTCCTTCCCTGTAGAAAGCTTTCAAGGGAAGATTCAACACTATCTGATATTTTTTGTAGAAGTAGAGTTGTCTGTAGATGACTAATGGAGATTGTCTTTTGATTTGGCTTTCAGGCTACATTCTTCATGTTTACTCTGATACTGACATGCTGTCTTAACTGGAGACAGAAAGTTACACCAGCTGAGCTGGGTATTAGCAAATTACAGTGTCTTCAGTATTCCCTTTGAAAAATGTTTAACTCACCATTTGCTGAGAAGCCAAAAGCTGTAATTTTAGTTGTGAAGGTTTGTCTCACCCTTTCATTTATTCAAGCATATAATATATATTGATTGCCTACTATGTTCCCACACTATGCTAAAAGTTGGTCATCCACAATGTGAAGCTAGCTCTATCTAGGACAAGGAAACCATCACAAACTGCAAGGGTACTCTGTTCGTGGGCATGAACTAGATTCAACTTACATAGTTCTGAACTTTCTGTGTGTCAACCACTTCCATATTTGCTCTTCCATGTGACACTCCTATTTTAGAAAATTTCTAAAATATGATAGAGTGATTAGTCTCAAGATAATGGAGTTAGGAAACAGGCCTCCTCCACATACTGAGTCCTCTCTACCAAGACCCATTCTGCTGCATTTACTGCCCTAGATCTGGCTCTCCTAAATCAGCACTTCCTCTTCCACATTATATGCCAGATTTGAAAGGGGGAAATGAGGCAAGTAAACATATTTTATGAGGGCCAAGAAATTCTAAGATTCTCTAAAGAAATAGATTGAATTTTAAAAGAGCAACAAAATTCAGAAAGTATAATAATTTGAGAAATATAGCTAATGAAGGTAGATAAAAAAATCTATTAAACATATAACTTTTAATTTTTTTATGAGATAAAGGGATTTCTACGAATTACACTAAATCTTTGATAGACTAAA